TTCTTTTTATACTTAGATTATAAAACCTTTAGTGCTAGCTGGGACCTATTTTTTGTTCAGTGCTAGTACACCACCTAGCTCTGGAGGCCTTCTAAGAACTAACATAAGGCAAATATAAATATCAGCCTGGATTGATTTAAACCTTGCTCTGTTCTAGTGTCCGCAGACAACTTGCTGTTTTCTTACTGGAGGAAAAGGAAAAAAGTTGAACAAAAAATGAAGAGATATTTGACTGAGAAATTTATTCTTTAAAAAGAATTCCCAAGAAAAAGCACTGTAAATGCCTCATCATGGCCCAAAAGCAGCACTATATCCTGCAGGCAGCTGAACTGTGCATTCACTGCTTGGGAAACGCAACCATTGCCCAAACACTACACACTTCTCCCACTTCAGCAAAAGGAGCAGCTTCTCGGGCTGGTAGGACTTGGCTTGCTGTCAGGTCAGCCATTAGAGCAAGATGCAACTCAGCTTTTGTCTGCAGGCAAGTGAATCAACCCATGTGGACTCATTGGCTTGTGACCCAGCCTCTGCTGTTACCCCGTTCTTCTTTTGGTCATACAACCTTGCAGGCATGCACTTATAACTGACAAGTGCCCGCAATGCTTTTTATTTATTTATTTATTTATTTTTTTTTTTTTCCCTGCATTTTTCTCTAAGGCTGATGTTTGACATCTTTTAAGCATCTCTTTGCTGCACGACAAGATGCAGAGGTTGCCAAGGACAGGTAGGTTGCATGCTGGCCAGAATGGGCAAGCTCGGCCACCAGTCTGGAACATACACCATGCGACACCTGAATTTAGATATCAAGAAGAGCCAAAAGTGACACGAGGCACAACCTCAAGCACAAGCACACCACAATGATCACAAAAATCTACACCAGGATTTATCCATAAACGGAGGTGTGGACTGAACTGACCGCTAGAAGTCCAGTTGCACTAACACCAGCCGACGCCATCTCCAGCTTTTGGTAGCTATAGTGGCTGTCACCAGAACAGACACACGTGCATATCCTGTGCATAAGAGCATACACATATGAGAGCGCATCCACAAGAACACGCGCAGAAAGATGAAGTTCCTGTGACAAGCAGATGATTGAAGAAGGGCCCAGAGGGCTCAGAGGAGCACGCACACCTCACGGAGCCTTGGGCTGAGCGCTCACACAGCATAAATCAGCTTAGCTCCAGTAAGAGCAGATTTGCAGCAGCCAGGAATCTGGTGCTGTACACTAGCCCCAGGAGAGCTTCTGACCCCCAAGTGTGCCTTACACAACAGCTTGTACTTCGTGGGATGAGACCGGCTCAGGAAAGATGATTTTGGAGAGCCAGAGCTTTGGAGGTATCGCTGACAGAAGGCTGTGAAGTTGCCACTTTGCAGTTCACGCGAAATACAGCGGTGCTTCAGACGTGTCTACTACGACCATCTCAACAGCTTTGCTCAAGCCCAGTAACAAGCACAGAGCTCAGTTATCCCTGTTTCTTTACCGTCATGAATCACATCCAAAGGCAAACCTTTAAGCTTTTAATTTTTTTTTTTTTTATATATATATATATATATATATATATATATATATATATATATAAAGTCAGTTATCAAGAGACAGCCACTGGCAGGCTACCGTCGGAGATGAATTTGAAAAGAGAGGCCAGTCACATTTTGCAACAAACTGATAAAAACAAATCAACCACAGAAACAAATTCCTCTACTCATTTCAAAGAATAGGAAAAAAATAAATAAAAGAAAAGCTTCAAGCAAGATCTCCCCCCACCCCCAGCCTCATAGATTTCAGGGACTGCTTTGAATGCTTTATTTTAGTAAGGAATAAAAGTCCCTGCTCCTGATAGATTGCAGTGCTCTCTGCCCTGAAGACAGATCAATATTACAGATCACAAATAAAATAGTCAGAAGGATTGAAAACAGGATTTACAACTGAATAGCTACCACACCTACATGAAAATAATAATTTACATTCCTTACCACACCCTATAAACTACACACAGGCAGCCTGAAACAGGAAAAGTAACAAAAATAATGGGAAAGAGCAGCAAATTGTGTCCTAGCATTATTTGAACTGATATGAAAACAGCTGAGGGGAGGGAAGTATTTCCTCTTGAAACCAAACAAAATAACCCAGAAACCTTCAGAGGGTTTAGAGTTTCAGCCTTTCTTCCTGCGAAAAGAATCCCCAAATCCTCCCAAATCTATGAAAAGCAGACACTTTCCATAGAGAAGGCATTCACCAAAAAAAGCAATTTTCTGTTAAAAATCAGTTTTGACAGGGCAGCTTCATCCAGGCTCAGATGCTGGATGCGAGGGGAGCATTTGCCAGGAATAGAAATGGGATTTTGAGCGCCCAAGTGCCAGGCAGACGGGGTTAAGGACTTTTTCTTGCCTTGCGGAGAGGTTTCCTCCGTCCCAGGAATGGCCTCGGCTGCAGGAACAGCTCAGAAGGGATAGAGGTTCACGATTTGTGTGGGAGTCTTGAATAATCTGTTCCTATTTTAATGTGAACACGGGTGGTAACGTGGAATTACAGCATGTGGAGGCGGGCTGGCGCGCATGGATTAATGAAAAATAATGAGATAATATTGAACATTCATGTCGTCTCATTAGAAGGGCTCAATTCCTCTACTAACAGAAATCTCTGGGAAATGTATTCTGAGACTCCATCCGTAATCTCAGTAGCAGGAATTAGTAGGACACAGGCCTATTAATTCACGAGTATATTCATTTGAAAAGAGCTTTCATTGTCAGCCTTAAATTTTAAGCAACCGAAGTACTTACACAGTAATCCTTTCACCTTGCATTTCATCGTGTCCAGAAGTCATTGTGGCTCCTAAGGTGCTCTGCTGTGAAAAAAAAAAAGAATAAATACTAATAACTGCATGCTGGAAATTACACTATGCTTATGCGATGCACCAGGAGAGACAAAAATAAGCACCGAAGGGCAGGAGGGTAGAGCTGAGTTTACTGAGGACTAACTACATTAGGATTGACTAAAAAGAAATAATAAAAAAACATCAAGCACATTCAAAGTGCAATCTGAGCAAAAATTATTTTTAGCCCCTCAATTATTGTGAGTTTCATAATGTGATTTGTAGGGCCTGCCGCTCCTGCACGCGAGCACCGTTGTGTCTTAGCGGGGAGTGATTCACTGGAGGGCTGGGATCGCACATTCAGGCACGGAGACGGAGAAAGCCAGCTTTGATTCACCCGTTTCTAAGAACACAAATTCACCCTCAGATAGAGCTTCAGTAATTTCTTGAAAGTACTGCATAAAACTGGAGATATTAGAGCTATTGAGGGGAAAGCCAGGAACATGATATTTATCAACCAGGGAGGTGATACTGGCTTCAGTAAAGCTGCAGAAGGCACGTGTCAAAACTCACTTGGGTCGTCACTGCCTCTTGGTGACAAGGTGAATTTGAGCTTAATCCCAGCGTGCTGGACACGTGGGTCAGAAACACACTGCTTACCTCACTACTAGGCTGACCCAGTCAATGAACAGAGGGTGATGATGCAGTCATAGCAGGTCTTCTAACCTGCAGCATCTGATCCAGTAAAGACGATGCACAGAAAGCCATGAAATATTTTGAAACTGCCTCACCTACACCAAATTAAGGCTTGGTAATTGCAGAACATGCAGGCACTGGCTGCTAATAAAGCAGGAAAGGGCTATTTTCAATAGAACGAGGGCTTTTCCAGCAAAAGTACTGCAGGGAAAGGATTATACATGATTTCCTGTTGCCTAAACAGAGCCAAATGAGTGAGATCGCCCTTTGCTTGAAGGTTGATCTTGAGACACATGCAATGGTACATCTTTGTGTGACTTGTACCTGGACCATGCACAGAACCTTACTCCTGCAGACAAGCAGCTTCGCAGCCGTAATAATTATGGCTCATTTAGCTTCTGCCTATGGTTCCCCTCCTTGTCTTTGAATCTTCTTTGAAGAGTCTGAAGTCAAGGAAAAGATCACCACCATCTGCAGTAAGTCTTAGGGCAGGACCTCAAGTGGGTCAAGTCTGTCTTTTCAGTCTTAAAACTGTACAGCACGAGCTGATGTCTTGTCTATGCTTTAAATAATTGGATTGTCACGTTAGCTGAATCTTGGGTCTTTCTGTAGCAAAACCAGTGAGCTCCCGAGTGAAGCAAAACGGGAATTTCTGCCCGGCAAGCAGAGACATTCCTCAGAAACAACATACATCAAGCAACTTAAAGAAAGATTAAGTTTTATTCAGATGATATCTGAAGGAGTTTCAATTCTCACGTCAATGATGAACACTTTTATTACCAGGGAGAGGCTGGTTAATCTTTAACCAAGAATTTACAATTCTTAAAACAAACAACACAACTTCAGAAGCTTCATGAGATCTTCTTTTTATTCTGGAGTGTTTTTTTTTTTCTTCTTTTTTCTTTTTCCCCTCCCTTTAAGCCATGAACACCACCAGATTGATGGCTGTGTTACGAAAGAAAGAATGAGTTAGGCAACGTGAACTACCCCATAAATCCATACGGCTAAGATCACCCCTGGACACGGCACAGGGGAACTCAGCCAAAAACCCAAGCTGAGGGAAGGGGTCAAAGTCATTGCCTACGTGATCTGAGCACTTTTCAGCACAAGTTGGACCTCAGGCCACTAATTTATTTCAAAACCAGGGTGGACCAAGTGGCAGGTACCTGATGCCACCATTTCACCTAACAGCACCTTAGAGGGAATACTACTCTAACTCATGCTGAGAAACTTGATGTGCTCAGCTGGTGGAAAGATCCTAAGTCTCAACATACTCTTAAAGTGGATCTTGGCCCCATTCCTCAGCCTCCTAATGCATACTCATAACCCCAACTCATAACTCGTTCAGCCTCTCTAGGTAGTTAATAGGATTTGTTATGAGGTAGAAATGTGATTCCTCCAAGGTGCAAAATTACCACTCACTGTTCCTGCTGTAAGAAAGAAAAATGTATGCATACACCAATGTTTTCAGAAAGCTTGAATGGAAAACCCTTTCATGTCAGAAGTTTATTTTTATTGGTAAAATATTAAATAATATACAGAATTAAAAACTGCACTTACACTTCTGAGAAGAAATAATTCTTGGACAAATTATATGCTTGTTCCTGAGATTCCCTACATTTATTCCAGTAGCTGTGCACTCAAGACAGTACAAACCTTTATAATATAATCCTTTTCACAAAGTATTACAAAGTTTCTGCAGCTTTTTTTATTTATACACACATACAGACTCACACTCTCACATGGCTGTACAACACTCACACATGTACAGAGTACACACATACAGATGTGGAACCATATGTATGCATGTACGCTAAGGAGAAAAAAATAACAAGTCCCATAGTTCAGTCTACAGCGGCAAAACTCTTTAGCAGGGGGATGCAGGTTTACATTGGGGTTGCTCACATGCACCACTGTGATTGTTTCTGAACTCCAATTTAACAGCACGTTCCAAGGGTTTTGGAATAAAGTCGGATTTTTATTCTTTTAGATTCCTCAATTTGAGTTCAGAACATCTGTTGCAGAACTAAAAATCATAACCTGGGAGAAAACTTTTTTTTGTTGTTGTTGTTTTTCATTTGCCAGATTACTCACCAAATCTTATCCTGCTCCAGAAAATGACCGATGTCCAGTTCAGCACTAGAGTGGGCAGAGTGCATCCCCGCACGAGTCACGAAGATGCTGACAAACGGGTCAAGACCTGACAGCCTGAAATAGTGCTCACAAGATCTCACATGCTTTGCTACGATCCCACTGCTTCAGTGCGGTCCCCGTTCGCGGGAGGACCTGAACAACCTGCGGGAGGTTGCCAGAATTTGGCCCTAGGAGTGTGACCCCGCGGGCAACTGCGACAGTCGCCCACTGAATACATTTTTCTACTTGAACTCAAACAGTCCAATCTGGGAAAATATTTTGGCAATCTGTCAGAATGGGATATAGTCTCCTCACCTTTGCTGTTATTAAAAAGAAATATCTTAAATAGAAATTTAGAAGACAAAAGTGGCCACTGTGCATGCGCAGTAACTGCCTTTCAAAGAATCTCAATGGGATTTTTATTACGTACCTAAATACATATTTACAGAACAGCGGTTTTAATCTACTGGGGTGGAAAAAAAAGGCATTAAAAATACACTATATATAAATATGTATGATATGTAAAACAAGTCCCATCTAAACGTATATAAGACAAGGACAACTCTAAAGAAGCTTTTCTGGTCTCTCAGGTAGATAAAGGACACGAGTCCTGTAATTCTTACGCGGGCAAATCTCTCCCATCAGAGTAAATGGCAGTTTTGCCCTAGCTAAGAGCTTAGGCCTAATCCAAAATCCATCATCAAAGTCACAAGAGTCTCCACTGAGTGGGTTTTGGATCAGACCAACCGATCTTTTTATTTTTTGTTATTTTCAATAAACATCAATATTAAGTGCTTATTTAAGAGGAAAAAAAAAAAAAAAAAGCTGCAATTACAAAAGAAAATGAAGGAAGAGGCAAGAACACATTTGTCCTTATTTCAGACCACTGGATGTGTTTCAATGTCAAATAAAAGCCAGAGTTAAGGTCTGGGCTTTAGCCTTAACTTACAGTTTCTCACCTTTTGTCAGTCAATCTTAATTTACATGGTTACTTGATGCTTATCTTTGAATGTATTTAAGATACAGAATTTCATTTCACTGATTTGTATTGACTGAGGAAAGAAAAAGTAAACCCTTGTACATTAATAAGACGTCAGGGAAAGTATTGCACTTGAACAGAAAGATAACCCCAAAAGGTGGTTTTGTCTTTTTTTTTTTTTAAACTAATGTAAGCAAATCATCCATGTCTGCAATGAGCATCTTTAGAAAGCAAGATCCAAGAATGAAGCATACGAAGGAAATTTGGGGTCGGTAACCCCCACCCTGGAATACAACAGTAGTAAAACTTTTTAAAGCATTTTCTTCCAACAGGAAAAAAAAGTTATATGACTTTTTTTTTTTTTTTAACTTTACAATTTTTAAATCTTTCTAAACATTTGCATTAAAAGTTTCCAGTTTCTCATAAAAAGATATACATTTTAGGAAAAAAAAAATACAACCAGAAAATAAAACCAACTAAAAAGGCAAATATACAGTATTATAATTACATCACTGTGGAGTCATCTCTGAAGGTACCCTAGGTCTTTAAAGTGTTACAAAGAGTACGTACCTTAATATTTTTTTCTCAAATCAACTATCTTTTTTTCTTTTTCCTGTTTTTAATATAAAACTACACTTGAGTACAAAAATATGTAAACAGACTGTACAGCCAATGAACAAAAAACCCCCAAAAAACAAAAAACCCTAGACAGCCCAAAGCTACAGGAGATAAGAGCAGGCCCAGACTTAAAGCTAAGAGAAGGAAAAGGGGGAGAAAGAGAAAACAATTGGAAACCAGAGGAAACTGCTACATGACAGAGGAAGTGAACACGTTCAAGCTCTGAGAACACTTGACAATTAGTCAAATAATTGATCACAGTTTCAGAATCTGAACTACTACAAAAAATAACCAGAAGTCCTTCCCTTGTTACAGCGTGTTCAGAAGCGAACATCCATTTCCAGTAAGTAATGTCAAATCCCAGTAAGTGCATAGTCGGGGATTCAGTGACCTCTACCCCTTCAAGAAGCTTTTCTTATTCCATGTCACTTGAGGTAAAACTAAATGGCCCAATTTACTGCCAACTGGCCTCTTTGTGCCAACAGTGGAGTCATGCTGTCCCCTCTGCCTTGCAGGAGGCTCCCGTATTTTACCCTTGATGGATAATACAGACTACAGGCTACTGGTACGCGCGTACTGCCAAGCACGAGGGATTAAGGCTGCTACACCAACGCATGTGAATTCATGCTCACCGCCAAACACCACTGCCAAGTGCTATCAACCTTGGACCTTGCCATGCTGTACCAAGGAGCAAGTAAGGCCCTGATTTAACAAATTAAGCACATGGTTAATGGTAAAGCTGCCATGCACTTCGAAACTGAATCGAAGGGGTCCACATGGGGTTCATGGTGTGCTCCTATACTTGCTTGGTGCAGTGGGCTGAGTCAAATGGCTGCTGCAGGAAGGAAACGTCGGCTGCCTTCAGCAAGCTTTGGGTCAAGCTGCTGCCCTTCTCCCAGTGGAGAACATGTAACACAACACCCTCAAGACATGATCTGATTAACTTCATCATCATTCACTCTGTAAAATACTTCATGTACTGATAGTGATTACACCACAGTATTTTTTTTTTTAATTGCAAATAATATTGGGATTTACTACAGCAGTGTACATCTTTGCTGAAATGGTTGCTGCTGTCTTCCCATCAATGAAGTCCCATGATTTTTATCTAAACTTTTTAGAGCATGGGGGTGCATGGACAGCTGTACTCCCAGACGGGGATCCACTTGAGAAGGGCTGGAAGTGAACTGTAGTTAAGTGGGAATGTTGTTGTTTGAGCCTAGAATAGAAACCGGTAATGTTCTCCTTGGCCTATCCTTCAGCACAATTCTTAACGGGATGAATGGGAACACATCTGTGGCCAAGCAAATTCTGCCTCCTCTATTCCTAGTTCCTGCTCCCATGTCCTCCCTGTGGCTGCCGTGACCCCAAGCCCAGAGGGATGGTGGGTGGCTTGGACCCCGTGGGAGATGCGCTGGGAACCGGACCTCCTCCCCTGCCCGCACCCTCAGATGCTGCACCCGTGCAGGGTAAATAACCAGACCTGAAAGTAGGTCACCAGCCTGCCAGGAAAGTACCAAAACAATACTGCACTTTTCACCCAAGCGTGCCAGCTAATAAAGCCCCGCAGAGGAGAACGAGCTCACCCCAGCCTCAGAGGTGAACCTGCCCCACAACATCACCCCCTGGCGGGTTTCTCTTTGCTCCATGTCAATGATTCAGGCAGCGTCACAGTCAAGCAAAGTCCAACGCTGTGCTGGTTGGGACCAGCGCCGAGACCAGCTCTGGCTGGAATGCACTTCGCTAGGGCAATGCCAGCCCTTCCCACTCCTAACGCCAGCTTTCTGCAGAAAATCTCATAGCTAAATACTAAGACAGCCTTCCCTCCCAGCTGAGCTGCAAAAAAGGGTGCAGGGGGGGACCAGGATCTGCCTTGCCAAGTCGTACAAGAAGGGATTTTTACTTTGGGTTGGTTTTTGTCGTGCATTCTGAAAGGGCAGGGAAAGATATCACGAATGACATCATGAACTTTCAAAATGCATTAGAAAAAGGCACATATACAATAAAGCATATATCTAATTATACGATACCATAGATATAAATATACTTTCTCAAAATCTCCAGCTGCTCTTGACCGCATGCCATCACTACCATCCACCTTTGTTCTGAAAGGACACTAAGCCAAGCTAAGATGCACATTTCTAGCGCCAAAGCCAATTTCATCACACTTTTCCTAAAAACCTCAAGTTGAGTTTAGGTGATTCAGGTAACAGTGCAGACTCCCTTCTCCCTCATTATAATATAATGCACAGAAACAGGTAAGTAAAGGAGTATCATCTAATGAAGGAACCGTGTTACTGCTGCTCCTGTCCTTGGCTGAAATACGCACCTTTCCCTAAATTGTCTCCAAAGTTTCTCTCAGGAGGAAAGATTGTTTTCTGGCTTCTTTCAATGTACTCACAAGTATGAAGAAAAAAAAAAAAAACAGCTCAGGACCCAGACAACACTAATAATATCCTATTAAAGATCATTTTTGAAGGGTTTGGTTGAATTCATGGCCTCCTCCTCTGCCTGACAGCTGCAATTTAAGAACACCCTTGTAAACAGAGAAATTTTGAAACTCTTTAAAATTGAGAATTTCTTCACTTTTAAGTAAATATACTTTATTTCCACGTGGTTATTATGTGAGCTGTCCTCTCAGACTGTAGAAACTACTACCACAAGAAAAAAAAAAAAAGGCCAATTTACAAATTTAGATTCTCTCTAATACAGACCAATAGAGGTTAATGCCTAGACACCTTTCACATCACTTCATAGATGGAAGCACTTTTTAAGGAGAAAAAAATTGTTTTAATCTCATAAGTTACTGAGTAAAGAGCTGGCTTTCCTGAAAAACGCTATATATTTTGATGTGCACTCCTAACTGATTGCAAAGAAAGGTGGCTGTAAAATTCATTGGCCATAACAGCAGATATATAGATAATGCCCTTTGCTCCAAGAACATGGATCATATCAAGAAGAGAATAAGCAGGCACACTTCTATTTAAATTAATAGGCTTGTACTACTCTAAATTGAGTCAGAATCTTGCCATTTTGGATGTAAAAAGAAGTGAAAGGGTTTACTGGCAGGGATGTTTGCAGAAATGGCTTTTTTTTTTTTTATAATGAAAATGGGGAATGTTTGCAGGAAGCCAATTCTAAATTTGCAAATGCATGTTTTTAACTGGAAACCCAATTCCAAGAATTTCAAGAGAGTCCAGTAAAAATCAGCCAGGTTTGATTTCAAACACCAAATACTTAGAACAAATGGATCTGCAGGCCAAGGCTTATCTACTCGAATTCCTAGTACACTTTTACTAATGGATTTGACAAAACTCAAGAGCTTTTCTTAGCAAAGTGCAGAGAACGAGCAAGAAACAGAACAAAAAAAAAAAAACACCAACTCAAAGGCCCCAGATTTGCACACGCCCATGTAGGGGCAAAGTGATTTATACAAAACTCTATTAATTTTACCTAGATCAACTAGGCACCTGATTTTGAAGAAGTGAGGACTGCCTTTTTTTCCCTACTCCTCTCTCCCAACAAAAAAGCCAAGTGGGAACTCAATGCTAAAAATATATACTAGATATGCTAGTTGAAAGCTTGGTTCAAAACTTCAACTGGAATTTAGTCTTTCTTCCTTCCCTAGTTCTAGGAAGAAAAACTTCAGTGAGCCCTAAGAAAACCCTAAGAAAAGGACACTGATACTAGAAATTAATGCAACCATTCAGCTTCTTGCTCTCTAAAAAATACAGCTTCTGGAAGGTGACAAACAGTGAGTGCCCTCCCCACTGTGTCTCCCATCCTCTATTTTCGTGATACTAGGAAAGGGCACTGCTCACAAACTGATCTTGAGTGCTGCCATTGGAACAAGAAGTTGGGCTTGACTGAAGCCAGCTACAAAACCACCGAGCCTCCCTGTCTCATCTTTTAAACATCTCCAGCATATACACTGCAGGAGGTATCAATGAATCATCAGCAACTGAAAGTGCACACTCACAAACTGTGGGTATAATCACAGTCAACTTATTTGTGGATACACAAACGATGCTCCTCCTTTCCCTGTTCCTCTGGTTTTCCATACATAGGCTTTTTTTTTTTAAACACTTTCTCCCTAATGCTAGCTATTCCAAGAAACCAAAGCCCGTTCTTTCCACTGACCAGAGGGAAGAATGAACTGTTATCCCCCTGAGACTGAAAGTGATTCTTGGCCACCCTTTGCTCTTGCACATACATGGGGCTATCTGGAGTTCCATACAAGCCTAGTGACCTTCAAGCCCAGCACCTTTCCCTTTGCACATGGTTCTTAGAAAACCCTTGCTGCCTCGGAAGAAGTCGCAACCACCCTCCCTCTCCCCAACCCTTGTTTTGTGACACGCTGTAAAAGCAACCCCCCTTTTTTTTTTTTTGATTTCCAACCAGGATGATGTAGAACGCAGTCAGCCACCTCCTAAGCCAACCTTCCTAGCTCTAGACAAACACCCATACAAAACCTAAGCGCTGCCCTCCAGCACGTACCCCTTTTTCTCTGGCACAATCTCCTTTGGTTACACCAAGTGCAAGAAAAGGAGAAAGGGCTGGAGGTTAGTTTGCCTGAGTTTCCTCTGCATTAGAAAGAAGAAAGAAGGAGGGGGAGGAACCCAACGACATTAAGAACAATGTTGGGAATAGGTCTTTAAATCTGTCTCTCCAAAGCCCGTATATTCCCAGCCTTGATAGCTCTCACATTACACAAGATGACATTTCTCTCCATATTGTATTATAATTAATAGGCTACTGCAAGACTTTACCAGCTCCTACTTAATAGCATTTCAGTGCTGGGAAGCAGTCATCAGGTAATCTGGCCATGATCTACTGTATCCTTTCTAAACACAGGTTCTAGCTGCCAAGAATGTCACCATAAAAAGATTTCAATCGATACCACTCAGCTCCTTACTTTCAAACGCTCCAGGTCTAGGAAGAGAAGAAAAAACCCAGTACCCTCAAAACAAACAGCAAACTGGCATGTGCATAGCGTATGCAGATTGAAGCGAGCAGATGGGAACTCATTATGGCCTGATCTTGCTCTCTTCTTTTATACTTCAGTAACTTCATACTTTGGAAAAGGTCTCGCCAAGTGCATGGGGACTACTTGCATGGAGGGGGTTAAACCCATGCATTTCTTTCCATTCTCAAGCTGCGCTCTTGTTGCCAAACAACAACATTTCAATTGTGATTGGTACAAACAGTTGGGTTGCAATGGCAATCTGTCACGTAGGTTTAAGCCCAGTTTTTACTGCTGCAACCTGCAACTTGGGTGGTTGCTGGCTTTGCTACTTTTTGGGAGAGAAAGAAAGGAAACAAAACAGATTGGTGTTTTTTCTTTCTTTTTTTTTTTTTTTTTCTTGTCCAGTCTGTAGCTCAAGGAATTGCTCTGGAGTTTGTTTCTTTATTTGTTTTCTCTACAGCGAAATTAATAAATTATAAATAAAAATGAAGTCTGTGAATTGAAATCAAAAGCACAGCACCTGCATATCTCCATGCATCAATTTCTAAAGAAGTAGGGAAGTTCATATGAGATCTGTTTGTTTGCAAGGCTTGTGGGCTCTCCAGGAGCAAAGGCTATCTAGCAAAACCTGCACTTTCACCCCTAAATTAAAGAAGAATTGATGACAAGAAAACAAAGGGAAATCACTGTTTCAGCAAATAAGATGTCAGCAAGAGAAAAAAAAACAACAATCGAGGCTCAGACCTTGACGTAGCTGAAATAGTTGGGTTAGTTCCATTAAATTCAATGGAGCTAAGAGGATTAATGCTGGCTGACGATCTGACTCCTAGCGTTTTCTCAGCTGCAAGTCTCAAGTTTAGGCTGTTGCCAAGAGGTTAACACTGTGATAATAGAATGAGAAAGTATTTATACAGGTATATATAGATATATAATTATATTTAAAGAACACTTTGCTACCAGTACTTTTGTCATTTTAAAATCTGTAATTTTAAAACAAAATTATTTTAGAAGAGCAGCAGAACCTCTTGAGTAAACTACAGACTCTCTCGCCCACTCCTAGGCCACTTACTGTCCTAGAAGCAACTTTAAATGTTATTTGCAAATGATATTTCTTAAACCATAGGGTGCAACTAAATATGTAAGGCTCCCAAGGGTCTCTAAGAAGCCAGTGAGTCAACACATAGGCATGGAGTAATGGCAAATCAACAATTCTAAAAAAGGTGCTTCATAAGTTAAGGAAAATAAAAGTACAGAGCCTCAGACTTACCACAGAAGGCCCTCAGGACTTATGAAACTAAACTGCTGTTACGTGGTACAGTGTTAAGACATACATTTCTTTTTTTTTTTTTTTCCTTTTTTTTTTTCTTTACCTTCTAGAGGGGCAACACACACTGAACCCAGAAAAGCAGCTCACCCTAGAAAGTAATTTTGAAAAGAATATTGACTTTGATTCGTGCTCCTAAATCCCTAAACAGTTTTGCTTTAAATGCAATTGTTCATTCTGTAGAATAAAGATCCCCCAGTCTTCTCCAACCACCAAACCCCCCACCGTATCTGCACATTTGAAAAAGGCTCTCCTCTGAAATGTTTCTACCTATTTGTCTGAAATTATAAATGAGCGGCAACTCATCGTGACTTTAAAGCACCTAGCAGGGTTGAGCAACATCCCAAAATAGGACATGATATACAGCTGATTGAGACAGAAACAGACTGCCTTTCAACTCCCACAGAAAGCAAGTCAGGTCACTCACCAAGAAGTGACAGCAACAACAAACCCTTCTTTTATCCCTTCCCTTCCTTCTTTCCATTCTTAAGCTGGGCAGAGCAAATGAGGTTGGGTCCACAAAAAAAAAAAAAAAAGGTTAATAATAATAATTAAACAACAGCAACAACAACAACAGCAACAACAACAAAATAGGCGCATCAATGTCTGAGGAAAAGTGGGATTGTAAGTGCAGTATTTCTTCATGTGCAGTTCTTCTACTTCATAAGAGTCCCCTTTGGATGAGAAGGCCTAGTGGAATGTGTGCTCCCCTCGGACAATGTGCGACGAGAACTCATAGCGGTCCTGGCTTCGGTAGCCACAGATGTTGCACTCTAGCGGGTCCCGGTAGCCGTGGCAGCCCATGTGGATGGTGTACATGACATGGTCCAGGAAAAGAACGCGACAGTGCTCACATTTGAAAGCCCTAATCTGCTCCCCTTCTCCATTGATGACCTTGTAGATATCCTTTAAAGAGCCCTTAGAAGCTTTGGTGGCATCCAAAGCCTTGGCGTCCTCCTTCATATAAGCCGGGCTTGGCTTCCTCTTGGGATTTAAGGCAGAGTTTCCTTGGTAGGACTGGCGGTCTTCGTGGCTGCTCTCTGAGTCAGTAGAATCCAGGCAGCTATTGCTGGGGGAGCCCTCTCTATCCTGGGTTCGACTCTTTGGTCTGATGAGGGAGATCGGGCCATCCATGTTGTTCTCGTGACTGTCAGCTGTTTCCCTGCTGATGGGCCTTTCTATCCTGTTCGGATGATAGACCTGAGCGTAAGCCGAGCTGATGACCGGGGCCACCTCTGCAATTGTGCTTGGTGTGTGCTGCATCAGGGGGTGAAGTGCCTCAGCTCCAAGGTAGGTGATTGCATTGTTGATGGCTTGGTCCATCATGTGAGACTGCATCAGCTCAGCCTCCTTCTCATAGGGTAGGTTCATATCAAAGTGAATATCTGGATAGCCAAATCTCATGAGCTTTTCACCTAAGGGACAAGAGCAAATCAGTGAGAAACATCAATGCAATCGCTCCACGGTTTTACTGTACAAGGGGTGGGGAGGGACAGAAACACCTGGCTTGAAGTAGAATTCATTCCAGAGCCCAAAATTTGCCTCCTTCTTGTTAACAGAGCTCGTACAAAGTTTCTGTCTTGAGATGGGTAAAACAGCACCATCACCTACAGCTTTATTGTTATTCTGGGTGAAGCAAGCAGCTGCAGTGACCTCCAGACCGCTTCCAAACCTTCCAGTAGGCCTCCCTGTGCTCACGCTTCCAGTTAGAAAACACATGTGAATAGGGAGAAAATGGGATTGTAATGCTGAAGTCAACGAAGCTTTACCAGTTGATACCTTTAGACATACTCTCCCCAAATTAAAGGAGGCAGTAACACCTGCCCCCCTGACTCTACAGTGCCTCATACCTACCTTACATCAGAGCTGCATAATCACAAGTTTAAGCAACAGCTACAGAGGGCTGGTAAGGTGGGGACCTAACACCTTTAGAGCCACAGTTACGCAAATCCTTCATCCAACAGAAAAACAATATTAAAATGTGACTACACTTGAAGACAGAATGCAGCAAATAATGTGATCACCTCACATCTTGCGTTCAGGGTAAAGCATTTTTGCAGCTCATCCCCCTCAAAACAAGAAACAAAGCCTTCCCCAACATTTGGGGATGAAGAAAAGGACAAAAAAAAAAAAACCTTCAAGTGGCTGTCTAGGCAGGAAAGCAGAATAGAGAAACCACATGTACAGCTTAGTTTCATTTAGTAAAAGGCAAAAGCATCTTTCATTGACATCGGATAAATAAATGTATAATGATGATGAAAGCTGGCTGATTCATTACTATGTGAATCCAAATTTAAATCTTTGTAGCCTTTTAAAATCAATGGCGTTACAGATACACAAAACCAGAACCACAAACTGGTAAATTATGCTAGTCACAGGGCACGTTGTGTATGGCAGATCTCCTTTGAAGTTACAAAATCACAGCTACTTACATCAGGGCTCAGCTTAGCAGCACTGCTTTTCCAGTGACGGCTTTAGTGTGTTAGTTAGTACAAGGAAAGTTCATTTAACAGCTCTTCTTAACTAAATATAAAAGATTATATGCTTACTGCATGCATAAAAGATATACACACTCACATGTTCACGCATTAATATTAGTTAATTGTTAAGAGTTAATTTTTGAAACTGATTTTACAAGTCTGATAAATAATTTTGGTGGGTTTTCATTGCCTTTGTTACTTTTTGGTGCCTTGGAACATAAAAGCACACTATTCTTCAATAGTGTAAGCTAATTGATTCAGGGAGTCACTACATACAATAGGTTTGGCTATCCAAGCATTACAAAAACTCAAAAATCTTGTGTTACCTTTTGCCAAAATTGCTTGGAACAAAATGTGTATAAACCAACATAAGACAGAAACAGAACTGTAATCCCAAATCTCTTCCAAATAGCATTAGTACATTTCAACATAGCTATCATTCAGCATTTTATTTTTGACTATAATAACTCATCCCATTTAGTATGGCTTATCTTAAAGCGATGCACGAAGAGGGAAATAATTTCACATTACCCATGGAACAATCAGGTTATCCTTGGAGATGATGCATCACTTTTGCTTGGGAACTCAGCCCTGATTAGCAAGGTAATTAAATGCAAGTTTAAAGTGAGGCACGTGAATATTCCTACTCTCTGGCAGCACTGTTCATGTGCTTCTGATTAGGGACCACGTTTGTATATCTCATTATAGTTCCCTACAGCCAGCTGTGTTACACTTATAGCTCAATGAAAGCAAGCATAACATAGAAAACCATTCCTTTGTTGCACATTAGACATTTGGAGAAAAATAGGGAAGGAAGAACCATACTGTATTGCAGTGATGGCCTTTGTTATCTAATGTGACTTAAGGATGATTCCTGTAATCCAACATCCCCTTTTAGCATTTCTGTCTTGCTGTCAGTTGCGGCTGTCCTGCCACAGATAGGCTGGGTGACTCTTTAATGGGAGGTGGGTACGGCCCCACTCAAAAGGGAGCAGCTACTTCCCAGGTAGGGCCGAAGTGTGACTGGAGGAGAGTTGCAGGAGATGTGGGATGCCTCCGGCACAGTGAGAGAAAGAAAAGGAAATGGAAGAGGCTGCTGCACTCTGACACCCACTCAGGCCAACTGCATCGCCCCTGTGATGAATAGGTAATTGGATCTGCTGAAAAAGGGTCCAATCCAGTCTCCAAACATGCTGTCAGTCCTTTGTAAGCTAGATAGATGAAGAAATAGCACCTGTCCTTTACGGGCAACTTGGATGAACAATGCAGACCTTATTTTGATTCCTTTTACCTTCCATATTTAGCAACTCCACCAGACAGCAGAGTAGAGAAAATAGTAAGTTGCCAGTGATCTGAATTATTCATTCCTTTAATTATGCTTCAAAGATGTCAGAGCCTTAAAAATGGCATGTGACACACAACAGTAAAATAAATGCTAACATGGAGAGAAGGGGGCATAAAACAGAGAGCTCAGAAGAAACATTGGCAAACCAATCCAACATGGTTTTCTATTTCAGCTCCTCTTCAGCCAAAGCTGGACTTAAAACTAACTAATCAGAGTCATCATTTTTAATTTCTTCAAAACTATGCTCAAATTCTACGCATCCTTATCCTACGTTATGGAAATGGAAGCAGAAATTCTCTACTGTGGTCATCTTACCATATGACATCCAAAAAAATACCCCATAAAACAGATATGGCAAGCTAGATCAAGGAATACAGACACGTCTGTCCTGTGTACCTGCAGTCCATTTTGTCAAGTATCTACAGCAACTGCAGCGTCAGAAACTTTGGATAAAGCTGTAAGAAACCTCGGAGAAATCAGATACAGAATTTACCACTGGGTACATTTCTTCCTGACCCCCATTAACTAGAAGCTGACCAACTCTGAAGCAGGTTGATCTTCATCTGTTCTGAGATGCCTGCACATTTTTAATTCTTACTATAACAACTGTGGTCTTATCGTAAGATGTATAAATGTCTTCTTTTGTATCCTGCCAAGTTCTTAACCTCAATGACAGTCTGGGACTGTGAGTACAACATTCAAATTAAGAATACGTGAATCTGCTTCATGTGATCAGCTTGAAGTTAGCTTTAAATGCCTGGCTCTCCATAGAAAGAGAGGCAAAAAGTATTCAGACTGCTGCGTATCTTAAGTTATATTTCTGCCTCCACTATCTCAACGGAGCTAGCAGGACTAGTAACTCAGTGACAGATATATAACCAAGTTCCTCAATCAGAAATTAACTCTCTTTGCCGTATGCTGCTTCCTCTCCTCCCGAAATTTCAGCGAAGAGTAGAGACTGTGGTCCATAACCAAGGTCCCTTGGAGACTGCTGATCAGAAAGAGCAGTAAAGCATTGATAGATGTAGCATGCAAAGATTTGAGCTTACGCTTACATGACCTTCTCATAAACACCATTAAGTTGTTTTGGACAAGTGCCATACTTGCAGTATGCACAGGAAAATTTCCTGCAAGCAAGAGAACCATTACAAGTTCTTCCTGATAGAGTTGAACAATATTTCATTGGGGAGAAAACGGGAAGAAAAGTGAGGTCATGGTGAAAAACAAAGGTAGCAAAGCAGAGAGACTGCTGGTTTTCAGCTCAGACAGCGCTGCCAGGAAAGATTAGAAATTGCAGAAAAATACAATACAGTAAATATGAAAGAGGACACTTTTCCCCTACAGCTGAATCTGGATAAAAAGCTGCATGCCATGTGAAACCCCAAGTTCCTAGCCTCAGAAAAATGGAATAACAAAGTCATCTGTTATGCCTATAAATGAAACAGGTTCATCTTAAAATAAAGAAATATACCATACTGAAGAGAGTAATAAAAAGTTTTAGCATATCTCACACAAGGACTTCCGAGCAGTAAGCTTGCCTTTTAAGACAGTAACAACATATGGCCAAATGCACGTTGAGTGGACAAATAAAATAACCTTCCTGGTCTAAAAAAAGAGGTCATCATCTACAGCTTCCAAAAATTGATTGGATTTATATCATCCTCAGTTGTGAAGGACATTGTTAAAGTTTTACTTTAACAAATAAAACTATGCTGCTTCTGACAGCAGCATAGCTACTCCAAAATTTAAGGGGGAAGGGAGAGAGGTCTCCAGTCCTCCCAGATGAATTCTGTAGCCCCAGAAAAGGGGCTACTTTTAGGAGGTGTTGTAAATACAATTATGGCTACATCTGTGGACAACTTGAGGGAAAAAAAGGGGGAAAAAAGGCAAGAGCGAGAGGTGAGAACTTCTTCCAAGGCTGCAATGGGTCTGATGTCTAGTACATCGATATAAAGTCAGCATGGGTTAACTATTTCACTGTTGATCTCAATATGCAGGAAAGTACAGCACTTACTGAGACAACACTAAGGAGATCTGTTATGATGGAGCTATGTTTACTGTATCATATAGCTGGATTGGGCTTGTCAGTATAGAGCCCCGCTCCTGTTGTCACCCTTTTCAACCATAACTAGTGCCACAGCAGTAGATTAAAGCATCCTCCGGTTCTTACTAGCTGTACAGTAACTCACTTCAGAGCACTCAAAGACAATAAAATAAGAATTAAGCTTTTATCTCAGGAGGACTAATAACAATATAGGAAAAAAAATAATGAGCCCTCCTAGCATTTCTTGTGTGGGTTGGATTGTTCCTGACCTAAGCCAGGCTTATAAGGAAAAGAAAGGACATGAAAATTTTTAATCAGTGCATGAAAGAAGCCTCGCACTGGTATTTTTTGGCATGGGCAGATGACCGAGAGCAGCCAGGTCAGTGTGTCAGCACCCCTCAGGTGAGGAGCTGCATGCTGTTAGCCCCCTACAACTCAAAACCATGTGGGTTAGCTTAACATCACCCTCAGTGGTGATTTAACAAATCCATCTGAATCTCCATTTAACTGAGGGGCAATGACTTTCCCAAATTGCTGTCTTAATTGCCTACAGCCCTCTGGATCCTCTATCCATAAGTGTCTTCAGTGTAGGCAGAATGAGTATTCAACACCTTTAAAATCTGTATGACTGTCCTTACAGGGAGTGAGTGTGGAAAACACACATTACATTAGGTCAGAGTCTAGCAGCATACACTTACCCCAAATAATTCTCTGTCCTACCTCCCCTCATAAGTAGTTTAACACTGCCTCAATAGCTGTGAAAATTACCTTTAGCTGGACCTAAAGTAAAATTGTCAATACTGTCTCCCGTTACTAGCAGAACAATTTTAAGATGTCAAGATACAAAGCAAAATACAAATTTGGGGGCTAGGATTCTAAATTTGGTAACCAAAAGTAATCCGATGCTGTTTTATATTCATTAAGTTTATCAGGTACACAACACTGCACTTGGAGCAAGCACTTCTTCCAATACAAGTGATGTGATTTTGCTTCCCCATGCTGATATTATCAGACCAGTTGTTTCCAACTCTCAGGAATTTAATACAAGTTACAAGTCTTGTGATACTTTTTTTTTTTTTTTTTTTTTTTTAAACACACACACTTAGATGGGTAATTATATGAGTTTTATATTTTACTTGCTGGGGTGAAGAGAGGGAAAGATGACAAGTCTTTGTCAAAAAGACAGAGGGTCAGAGAAATGTTTAAAAAAATGGACTTAAGGTACAGGGAAAAGCTCAAGATCTTCTAATCCATTTTTGTGATTATGAGGACCTCAATTTTGAATAGCCTGGGCTGGCAAAACTAATGCTGTTGTTTGCATAATTTCTTGCTGTGATTTAACCATCTCAGCTGTTGCCCCTCCCCATCACATCCAAGTTCTGAGAGTGCTACTTTTCCCCTTGTTCTTTTGGCTATCGTTCACAAGTTACAAGCAACCTATACCTACAGGCTAAAAATAATAAAAGGCGTATCTCAAGCTTACCCACAAACTTCTGTGGGGTGGAGCTTTTACGCTTTCCCATGTTGCTTGTCAGCTTCTCTATAACAGCAGGTCTCTCAAAAGGCACCAGAGAAATATTGTTGTCCATCACAGGCTCTTGTTCCTTACAATCTTCCATAGGAGGTACTACATAAAACCAAAAAATCGTATCAGAGAAGTCCGGTCTACACTTCACAGACGACAAATCATTTGAGCCTTGTTGATCACGCAACAAGTGCAACGCAAAATAAAGCAAGGTGCAAGAACACAACGGGCATCAAGACAGTATTTACCCTTGAGCAGTCAGAGCCAAGCTTTTCAATTCCCTCTCTTTGGGACCATCTTATTTTGCAGAAGCCCAGCTTTAAGCATTTATTAAAGAACTTATTTTGTTCTGAATACCGAAGATCCCCAGCGAGGTGGGAAGAGAGCTAATGGTGCACGGCACTTCTGAAAATTCCCTCTGCAGATCTCCCATTTTCTGTTATTCTCCCTCCAGTACGGTCCCATGACAACCTTCAAGTTACACCAGTAACATTCTTCACGCATTCATTTAACATCAAGCTTATCACGTGCTATGTTTACCCATCTTATTTCCTTATCGCGCTAATCTCAATGACTAGAAAACATACAAGGCATTAGTGATACGAGTTTCCTGGGCCTGGCTTTGCACTCCCCAAGACAAAGGCTTACAGAATGAACAACGTTTAAGGTGTGTTTCCCTTTTTCTAGACATGACACCAAAAATTCTCCAAACACCATACCGAAATTGCAGGATTAACATTATATGGAGATTCCCTCTAGAATCAGGGAAAGAAACTAACAAGTTTTTGAACTAGCATTTTCCCCTTCACATGCAGACTTAACAGCTGGGAAATGCAACTCTTCTTCATCTGTCTTCTTGCTGTTTGGGACCAGCAGAGAGCATCCCTGTGCCACCTGTGCTTGGGGAATGCTCATATATTGTCTTTGAAACAATAACAAGAAATTAATGACCTCTTCTGTCTCCTCATTTCACTCCTCACTGCTTGCTGGGTTAGAAAATAAAGTGCTAGTGCAAAAAAATAGTACAGGAATTCCATGGGCTACCAACCAAGCTAGGGTGCAAACAGCACTTTATTTTTGTCACTTGCTGACATGTTGTTCGCTAAATATCTACAGAATATTGTTTTTGTTGAGCATCCTCTTATAAACACCAGAAGAGTCAGTGGTAACATGCTGAGGATTAAACTCAGAAACCCTGAGTCATTTGCAATATATGTCAAGTGTAGCTATTCCCACCACTCTGCAGCAAGGAATTTCATACACGGCCTGACCGTTCCTCATTCATCTCCAGAAAGCAGCGAGAGAAACATGAGAGGGATCATCCACTAAGGTCTGCGTGCTAATAGGAAGGTCAAGGTATAATAATAAGAAAATTACTTGAGAAGAATGGATGGCAGAGAAATAGGAATTGGGATAATGTGGCAAAGAGTTCCCATTTCTAAGCTGTGAACCTCCCATCACATTCTCTCTATTAGGTCAAACTTCCAGTGAAGTCACAGGTGCTCTTGCAGAGGTAGTGAAGACAGACCACATCTTCTGCTAGTTCTTCCCTGCTGTTCCTGCAGCAGCCTCGCATGTCATTTCTCATTCAGTTACCTTATCCCTGAGATGGTGCCGTAAGTGAGCACCGCCAGCCTGCTTTCCTCCCCTGGAACTCGGCTGCCTTTAGGATCCTAATAGGGAATAATCACTTGCCTGTTCTTGAACATGCAGCTGTTTGCTAGCACATAATATATGAAAAATGAGGTGATAAAAGCCTTGTCTTTGCCTTCTTTCTAGTAAGGAAGAGCAAATACCAGGCAATCACAAAACAAGAATATCTGCTCAGGTGAACTTCTCAGTTCAGACATTCATAATAAGAAAACATGGCAATTTATTCATTTGATTCCATTTGTGCCTCTGCTGCTAGGGAAAGCTGAGTACTTGGAGTTTTAGAATCTCCCATATGCTATAAAATGATTTACTCTGCTGCTTTTTTATTTGTACAGGATGCTCCCCCTGAGAAACACAATGGTTTCTCATTTACAAGGCAGTCCTGCTGGCATCAATGAAAGAGAGGAAGAAAAAGCACAAATATGAAATGAATCTAATGTTGCAACAAACTGGGATGCAGTGTTCAAGTGACCTAATTAATACCCCGCACAGTCTGGGAGGTCTGAAATATTATAATAGATATGGCTAAATTCTTAAGGTTACGTAAACGCCCTGCTTGGGCCACAGCTCTCTGCGCTAGCCCTACTCAAGTATTTACCGAGGAGATTTGTAAGAAAGGAGTGATTACATCTGCTGATTTCCACTGGGAACTGGTGGCTGACTGTCTTTTTGGCTTAACAAAAATCAGCATATGCAGATGCACACACGCTCCGTGTGAAACCCTGGATTCCTGCTCAGTGGCAATACCTGTCCTCGCTGTGATGGGACAGATTTGTACACAAGGACCACGTCAAGGATTTCCAGCCCTTGTGGGGTGCACAGGACTTGTGGCGAGCACATAAGGAGGGGCAGAGGGCTCTAAATCCTTCCTATGAAGACCTGCAGGCTTTGTAGCACTGCATGCCACAAAATCAATTGAAAGCCTCCTAATTACTTTCGTTGCTGTGTGATTAAGCCCAAAATGTAGTGACATTTGTACGTCTTATAAAGATTAATAATTGAATAATTTGACTGTTGGGCATATGTGTGCAAAATTTCCTAGATGGAATTTGAAACCTTTCTTCCACAAAAATTAGTAGTGCTAAAAGAGACATCTGCTCTTCTCTAAGTCAGGCAAAAATTCTGCTAGGACTTCTAAAAGTAAAAGCATCACCAATAAAATCATTTTCTTTTCTGTATTTGATCCTGCAAGCTCTTTTTCCCACCTCAGAACTCAACTCTGTAATCCAGGGCACAGTTCTTTTGCAAAAGAACTGCTCAATCACACCAATATTTGCGTTAGGATGGGAATAAGTTACCAGAAAGCATCTTGTTATGTAGATTTCCTGGAATAAGGGAGAGATGGAAATAGGCTACTTTCCAAAGCTATTTAAAGCACATGCAAACCTGGACCAAACAGGTGAGATGTCACAACTTATAAACCCAAAGAGTTAAGCTAAAGATCACATTATCAATTCCACATGCATTGATTTTCATTTCAGTTCCAAAATATACAGATGAAGGTCAAGCAGGCCAGCCTGCATCACTTTTTGGAGGAAAAAAAAAAAAAAGCATTAAACCAACAGTTAACACTTATCAGCTGCTCTGTGATGGAAACTCACATGCACACGTTTACTCTGCAGTAAATGCAATTCCTTTTGCATTGCATTTTATTGTATTTCATCACTTTGGGTAGTGGGAGCTACTGAAGAACAAGTGACACGTTATAACTAGATTTGATGCAACAACTTATTTTATCCTGTGAACTTACGGTCTCAGCTCAGGAGGGCTTTTTTATTACAGAAAAAGAGAGTGTCTAGTCCATGAAAAACCCATGCCTGAGCCTGTTTCTGTTAAAGGATGTTCCTCCTTTATCAGGGGGCACTCCTGGACTGCCTGTGCAAATTTTCACTGACAGTGCTGATGTCCTCAACTGCAGTTAACACCAAACAGGGTTTTTAAGCTCAAAGTCTCCATACACAAATATGGGTGGTCTTCAGAACAAAATCTTAATTTTCCTGAAGAGATTGGTCTCAGGGTTGTAGTGCTCAAATTGGATTTTTTTATTTTTTTTTTAGTTTTTGCTTCCTCGTTTAAAAGAAACCACACGCACTATTAAAAAAAAAAAAAAGTTTATGCTGTTCCAATGAGGAAAGAATAGGGAAAAAACAAGGCAAAACTTACCCAGCGTGTGTTTTGCTGATAAACATTTTTGTGTGCAGACAACAGACACTGGGCTACATCTCAGCTGGTACAAATTAGTATTACTCCACCACCCTCAGTTTCCTTTCTTAAGCTCACAATATTTGCTATTTTAAAAAGTGTGTGCGCACGCACTGAGAAATGACAGGCAATAATCCCATGGACCCTAGTGTGAAGTATCCTGTGGGACTAGCATTTTAACTACATTTTAAGCAAGTATGTAAGAGGGAAGGACACAAAGCCATTGTGTGTTTTATGTGGAGCTGGCCTTTGAGCCTTTCACAGCCTACGGCTAAACTCCTTTCTCCTTCTCCTAAAAGGAGTATTCTTCTCCACTTTGTTTTAAGAATTTCCCTGAACTTTTTGCTTTGTAGAGATGAAGATGAATATATATCTGAGTATAAACCATAGCTGGCATTCACCTTTTTTCCCTATTTGTTCATGCAAAGATCACATTCTTTGCCTTCAGAGACTGTCACTTGTGTCACCCCCAACACACTGCTAGCTCGTAGACTGCAGACTAATTTCTACCCCAAGAGCCAGAGCTGCTTAGCTGAGAATTGCCGCCGACAACGTCACAAGAGCTCTCTTGCAGCAGGCAGCACGCAAGCGAGCCACGGTGCTGAGCTGGGACCAGGACCCAGCCACGAGTAGGGGCAGCTCAGCAAGCAGCCGGCACCCTGCAAAAGGATGGAGAGAGCCCTGGTGCCAGAAACTTGTACATTCCTACCCACACGCTGAAACTAAGCCTCTCTGCCTGCCTCTTGCTTCCCCTTGTGGCTTTGGTCAGGTGATCTAGCCATCTGCAAGGCAAAGATAATTGAAATCAAAGTAAATATTTGCAGCGTGCCTATAATTTGACCAAGCAGAATACAGTGCTTGAAAAAAAACCCTAACGCTCAAGGGGCTGCCCCAAGTCTATCGGAATGAATCTCTACAAGAATAATTTAGCTGATGTTAAACGTTGACTGAAATGGTTGGGACCCAGCACTGCCGCCTGCACTCTTAAAGCAGAATGCTGGTAGGAACGAGCAAATCCCCAAGTTCATCCATTCTGTGCTTCACGGTGGTAAAGGTGTGAAGAGGAATCACACTGACGTGTGTTCAGAGGCCGGTGTGAACGTACAGATCCAGGTAATCCAACTCTAGGAATCGTTTCAAGTGGCTGGAGAACATCCTGCTCCCAGCTGGGCTCAGAGAGCTCCGTGAAAACAAGATTCTTCAAAAGAATTTGGAAAGAGAGTAAGGCCAGCTTAATGCTCGTATGATGTAAAATAAAGGAACGGCTGAAATCTCTAAGGCACACCCTCACTCAGCCTCAGGAATATCTTTTCAAAGTGTGACACGGGAGAGAAGGAAATTAAGGCATTTTTCAGAGTCAGACTGAGACCCAACTTCAGCAGAAAAATCATTTTTGATTTTTTTTCAGGAGAGAAATTATTTGTGTGTCCTTCCCTGGTGATTTTATACTCCCCAGAGGAAGGACTTGGCTACAGATCCGTACGGTATGGTGCTCACAACCCTCTGGCACACACAGAGCTTCCCAGGCGGGAGTACAGGGATGCGAGGTGAGATTTATTACCGGTGCCCAGCCAGACCTGCGGCTCCCTGTCGCTGCCCATCCTCACTCTGCCCTCTCTAAGCAGCATGATGCAAAGCGTGGATCAAACATCCCTGAAACGTTCACCAGGGGACATTTAGGCATGTTTACCAAAGGGAGAAAGAGGCACTAGTGGAATTCGAAGTGCTGTTTTAAGCTAATTTTGCTGAGAAAAGTGAACTATTTGTGTGAAGGCTTCTATTTTAAGCCCCAGCAAAGGCAGTCAGGCTGTAAATAAAATAACTGTCCACATGGGGTTCACACTGCTTTAACTTCAGCCGGTGGAAAAATCAATGCAAGGTCAGCCATACCAGCTTCTCTGGGTGGACAAGGTTAGGGACTTAGCCCTCTTGTCACAGCATTAAGCAGCTTGGGAAAAGCTTTAGATTCCCTCAGAAGTACACTATCAACAACAGTAATCCCATTTTGAATAAATAACTTAACGATAAACCTAGAAGTTGAGTGGAATTTGGGCACAACTTCCATAAAGTGATCTCTGAAAGAGTCTGGCTGTGGCAACGCTGTTGATCAACTGTTATTTCCCTAAGAAAAGGCTGGCTGATACCATCACCTAGCTGGTTAATAAGACAGGCAGACCCGTGCAGAGCAAAGAGCACACATTTTGTTGGGAATGGAGTAGGTGGCTAAACTCCTTCTATCACCTGAAGTGCTCTGTCTAACAGATGAAGCGTGCAACAGGTCCCTCCAAATAGTGAAGCCTTAAAATCAGTTTTCCCACTGACTTTTACAAGCATAAAGTAAGGCCTAAAGTAGATAATCACTACCTTCAAGGACTTTGAAGTCATCCATTACATTTTAAGGGTTGATTTTAGTCCCCAGCCTACCTAAAAGTATAGTATGTAGCCTACCTAAAAGTATAAAGCATGTATTTTGAATGCCTTTACAGATTTGAATTTTTCTCATAAAGGTACTCTTTAAAATATTTTGGTGATTATTTTCATCAAAAAAATACCGAACATTAGAAATGTCGGATAGGTTTTGTTTCAGCTTGTCTTTTTAGTTTTTTAGTTTGTTTTTTTGTTTTTTTTTAAAAAGTACCTCTCAGAGCTTTTACCTAATTTCCAAATGATGCTAGATGACTACACTCTACAATGAAAAGCAAAATGAAAAAGTTTTCTCCTTTTTCATTTACCTACTGTCTAGCTTTTTGATATTCTAAGGTATAAATCATTTTCTACTCAAAATGGAAAAAGGATGTCATTTTTATATTTCTTTCAACGTGAAAATTTAAAATACTTCCAGTACCAAATAAAGATAATCTTCAAAAGTTAAACAGACGTTCAATTTCCAAAACACTAATTTTGAATGAAAAGATAATTTTTGGACAGCTACTATTATTTAGCACTACAGATACACCTATAACCCTGCAGTCAGAGATGCTATGCTCATTACCCATACCAATAGCTACAGAGATTTCTGAAAACAAATTCACAGAGTTTGACATTTCTTGCTTTCAACAATCTTTTTGGCAATCTTCAGTCTTTCTGTATATTAACACATGTAGTGTTAGTTAGCATATTAATACCAACACATGTAAATGCATATAAACATTTTTTTATATATATAATTACTTTCAACACTGTTGACTTCCATGCTGCTCTGTAGGTTTTTACATCCAATTCCCCCCTCCTTTTTTTTTTCCTTGATGGAATATGTTATTATAAGGAGTAGAAACAATGACCTCTGAGTACCTCCACCATCCTTACCTCTTAAAATTACCAGTCACCATCACAGCGGGGGGGAAGACAATTTATACATGCCTTAGTTTTTACAGTAACTTTGCACAGGTGACTTTGATCACTTGAAAGTCTGCATATTTGTACAACTAAAAAAGTGAAATACTGACTTCAAAGCAACAACAAAAAGCCAGCAAAAAATAGCTGTTAAATCAGGGTGGGGATTTCAGCCCATCTTTTTTCCTCTTGCATATCCAAGTGCAAGCAATCTATAAGACGGAAGCGATGCAAAGCGCAAAGGAAGGAAGAAAAACAGATGGAAAAAAAAACACGCGAGAGATGCTCCAAGTCCAAGAGACCTCAGAACGCGGTTTCCACCCACCGTGGTGACTCATGACCTGCCCGGCAGCCTCCATGCTGACGTTCTGCAGATAGTTGTGGCAGCGTTCCTTGTGCTCTTCCAGCGAACTGCGCTGCTTGTAGCTCCGGCCGCAGTAGTTGCACTTGTGAGGCTTCCCCACTGTGGAAAGAACGAGAGCTTCAGGTCAAATCCACGGCAACCCACTTGTGCTATCGACATGGCATCTTCGCAACAAACCCACTCTCGAGATGGAAAGACACCTCAGAAAGGTTACTCAAGTCCCAGGCCTTCTTTCCAGCCCCGTTTTCCCACCACACACACCTCCTCCCACCCGCCGGGTACTTGGCCCCATCAGTTTTTCACACTAACGCCCGGTATCGGCAGAAGCCAAAAGAGGCGAACTCGCTGGTCGCAAAGCAAACAAACAGACTGCAAGAGGGGAAAGCAAACCAAACAGCTGAATCACACCCCAGCGCTGCCCGTGTGTCACCAAGCCTCGTGGGAAAGAGACTTCTGAGATGTTTTGCCCACGGTACAAGCGGCTGCCCTCGCAAAAACGTGCTGCCCCAGTGGCCTCATTCTGCTCCGAACCGGGAGAAGCCATCGCGGGGCACAGAGGGGTTCTTTCATCGAGTCAACTTGGCCAAAATTACCAAGGGAAGGTTTAAAAAAAAAAACACAGAAGAGACAACAGAAAGTAACGTTGGTAACGGCCTCCGTTACACGCCAGGGCTGAGCTGTCACCAGTAATTCACAGAGACCGGATAATATTAAAAAAAGGCCGAGTACAACAAAAACCGAGCCAGATGAACGCAAGACATAACTCCAATTCTTTTGTGTGTGTGTTTCACTCAGCAGCAATACGACTAAATGGCAAATGCCTCTTAATACATGCAAAACCTGGCACCAGATCCCCATAAAGTATATCCCTTTCATAGCATGTCATTAAGTAACCACAAGAATGGCCTAACCCAAGGCCAGAAAGCTAGCCAGAAGTGTAGTTTGCCAAGCCATGCTAATAAAGGTTTTTAATATAATTCCAACTCGTAGAACACAAGCATTTATTCTCTAATAACTAAAGAGCTATTAAGTCAGCCCTGCAAGTCCAGTAAAACACCACAGGCTGAGGTTTTCAGAACTGCCTGAGGGATGGGGAAGGTCAAACTTCTCACAGAGTTTTGCAAGTCTTTGGTAAGAACTTCAGTTGCCAGCCAAAGAAATCGAGAATATCCTCTGCTGGATACTATACATGTTCCTACTGGGGTTTGTCCCAGTCCTGAAAGCTTTTCGCTGTCATTTACTTAATGAAACCCAAGCTGCACTGACAGCAGCCAAGAGGCACCGTCATCAGGGGCAGCCGGTCCCTTCCTCCTGCTGTGGGACACGGTGGCACGACGGGACCGACACCGCTCCCAGAGCCTCCAACCCAGCCAAAAGCTGACTCTGTTACCCCTTGACGCTGCTCTCCATGGGCTTCCAACCCAAAAAGCTTGGGGGTGATTCCCTGCTGGGATGGGAGCTACAGGGGACACATCCATGACCAACAGCAAGTGGGACAGGGGATTTCTTGAGGTGGGGCTGAAGCACTCAACATGGAAGGCCCAGAGGCAGGGAAATTTTTTTTTTCCCCCCGCAGGGGAGAAAAAGCTGCTTTTAATAAGCAGCCAAACTGTGGATTTTTCTCTCTTTATTTGGAGATCAAGTTCACCCCCAGGGAAGCAATGTGTCTCAGACCAAAACAGTTCTTGCGGTCCGTATTTTTCTCACATTGTTGCCCTAACTGGTATTGTTACTGGGAGACTCAGCTGAGGCCAAGGACGGGAGGCTCGTTATCATTCCCAGAGTAATTGCCCTTGATGTGAACAAGATCGAGCCTCAGCTCTTACATGCACACCATCTTTCTCATCCTGCAGGCTCCTTCAGGATAACCTACTGGTAGCTCCCTGGAATGGAAAAACTTTCATCATCACAATTAAAATGTTTCGTCATGCATTCAGATGGCTTCAACATCCGTCAGTCTGATGCCTTTATTAGAAGCTAGCTTAATGTCTAATCAAGAAATCTAAAGCAGTTGGAGGGATTAAGTTAACAGAGCTGAAGAAGGGCCGAATTAGCCCACCCAGTTTGGCTACACCAGGTTCTCAAACAACTTGGACAAACTGTAAGACACAAGGGAAATGGATGACTGCTCTCAGTTTTTCCAGAGGTAGCTGCTATTAATTAGAAGTGGTCACTGCACCGAGCCTGCACTCTGAATTTAAGAAGAGATTGGACTGTGCACTTAGTCACATGGTCTGAACTTTTGGGTAGACCTGTGCGGTGTTGAGAGTTGGACTTGATGATCCTTAAGGGTCCCTTCCAACTCAGGATATTCTATGATTCTATGATTACTTAGCACAGAGAAACATATTCTCCTGCAAACTTGCAGTACAAAAAAAATGATTCAACACTAAAAAAAAAAAAACAAACCTGATATTTTACCTCTACAAATGTCTGTTCCTTGCCTTGCAACCATTTCACGAACTGTTCACAGACAACAACACTGAGCTTTTCTAGTGGTATCTAGGAGAGCCAGCCACCCAAATTCCATCAAATTTCAAGGTTCATAGGCGATGATAAAAGCTAATGATAAAGGCAAGATTTCTACATGCAATATGGGATTTGAGGAACGTAACTCCCCAAGGAAAGAAATACTCCAGCACACAAGCTCCTTCCTCTGGGGAGAAGATAAGAGAATAAACAACATGTGACAAATATTAGTCATGTTGCCTAATACACAACTGGAAGTTGCTCAAACACAACAGGGAAGAGCGAAGTTTGTGCATTCCAGTTCAGTAGACTTGAATATAACTCCCTTGGGTTCACTTGCCAAGTTGGTCCCCTGGCTCTATAGATGCAATCACACCATAGCACTGCATGTGACACTGGGAAAAACGCGATTTACGCTATAAAATTACACAAAGTGTCTGCAACTCGGGCCATGGTACACTTGATCAAGACAGATCACAACGGAGTAGGTTTGAGTAGCAGCAGGTTGTGTCACCAGCCACGCTCGCAATCCAGTCAGTAAGAAGCGTGGCTAGCAGTGGAAGCAATTGCGGTCTAGATTTTAGGAACCTGGTCGTTGTGACAAATGCCAAGACATTGAAATAGCTGCAAATTTCCCCTCACGCTCTCATCAAAGCAGCTCGCGACAAAAAATACATGTTTGTGAATATGAGCTTCGCCAGTGGGTGTACATTTTTCCATATTTTGTGTTACCCAACAGAAAGCTGTAAAAGCTTATTAGAGAATTCAGTTCTGGTGATCTCCTCAACAACAACAACAAAAAGTGTATTTTGTTCCACGTAACAAACCACCAAATGAAACCGCATAGCTGCTAAGAGATTCTTCAGCCTTTGTTGTATATTATGTAGTAAGTAAACGCTAATGGGCACGAACTGCCCCCAGAACATAAGGCTTATGCTACTGGGCTCAGGGGGTCCTGGTCTTTGGGCCATTGCCTTGAAGGCAAAGAGTTCCTCAGAGCCCACCAAAAACCTCCCTGAGCCCCACTGAAGGCAGCTCTTTCAACCATGTCTTTATGGAGCCACCCAACGTTTGGTTTGGCTTGCTTGGTACCAAGTTGCCTCCTCTGAGCTCCTGACTGAGGACCCTGGTGCCCGGACATCACGTTCAGTGCTGGACATCACTGCTGCTGCCAATGGCAGCGGCACGTCGGCAAACACAGTTCGGAAATCCCTGGCTTGGGGCAATTGTTCCTATACCACCTTTTCAGGGTAAGTAATCAGATAAAAAATTACCATCACTCATTCTCATAAAAATGACACAATACAGCGAAGGCAAACAAACCCAGCAATCTTGAGAAACCTTCGATTTGTTGTTGAACTGGGAAAGACCAGGGCACCGGGCAAAACCCAGCGGCCATATCTATGAAACAGCTGACTTAAGAATACAAAAAACACACTTCGTATTTCTTTCTTAAATGTCAGAGTTTCCATGCATTTAAGCTCAGATTCATACAGATGACAATGTGGCACAGAAAACCCACAGTGGAGTCTCAGCCTCAAGTGGAAAATATTATGACAGTCACAGTGAAAAAAGATATTTCAATTTGAAGTAGAATTTTTACCATGAAACAGGTAAACCACTCGCTGAAATTCACAGAGCAACCGAGTTTGCTCGTGAAATTAAAATGTTCGTGTGCAGAGAGGAGGGGGAAGAGGAGGAGGAGGACGCAACAGGCAAAGTGCTCATGAGTTAGGAATACTTTGAGTCCTGTGGGTGAACTTTGATAGCTGAGAAGTCTGCAAGCAGTGACAACGAGATGGTGCAACTCTCAGGTCAATATTCAAGACAGAAAGCAGACTTGGGCCTAGGGAAACTGCTTTTAAGTCATAAAAAAAGGTCAGCGCAAGAAGAAGAGCCCGTAAGGCATTTGTGCAGCTTTTTGTTCTCAAAAGAGACGGGAGCACATAGCAGAATATAAAGTAAGTCAAAGGGAAATAACAAGGCATCCCAGGTAATACCTTGCCATGAGCAGACAACGTGAGAAAGGCTTACAGAACACGTTCACTAAGCTAAAACCCTGCCTTCATTAACACCAGTGACAAAACATTCACTGGTTTCAAAAACCAGGATTAACTACTCCCACATTCCCCTCTTTTGGGAATCACATGCTTCTCTACAGCAGTGTGGAGCAGGACTCCTTCCCATCCATCTGTCCGTGTCCTGAGTCCCTGCAACAGCTCAACCACTAATAGCACTGGCTTGTGTAGGGAAATGCCTTACTACAGCTGTCTTGTGCGGGTCAGCCCAATTGAAGGGCTGTTAAAGCATCTTCCAACCTTTACACTGAGCTCTGTATCAGTATTTTTCAACTTTTTTCCTCAGAAGGAAAGCCCGTTTTCTGGACTAAGTGTCCATCTTTGAACCCGATGGAGCCCTCCTGATGGCAGCACACCCAGCCTGACGCAGGTCTGTAAAATCTGAACTCCCACCCTGCCCCTAACACCTCAGGGCTGGAAGAAACCTCCATATTCCCCAAAAGCAACTTTCTGAAGCAGCTTCAAAGTAGTTTAAATGTTCTTTGGGGCTAAGACACACAAGAGCGAGGCTGTAGAATCCACTGTCACAACCATAACTAATATTGATTCATT